CAACAATGAATGAATGGAAATTCAAAATCTCTGTAAATGTTCACTAAAATTAATAAAATACATTAAAAAAAAAAGACAAGTGAAAGCAAGAGAAAGAAACAGGCTTATTAGATGTTCATAACAGACTATCAATGTGTCAGGACAGACTGACCCCATTTTTATCTTACAAAAGGGTGTATCTATCTTTTGTTAGCAAAGAATGGGGTTTAAACAGCTGATGGTGCATTCCTTCTATGGTGACTTTGGCCATCTGTTATCTTTTTCCTTGAGTCTGTTGTTTTGCCACATTCCTTGAGAGTCTGTTTTTATTGTCATATACCACATTCCGTGAGGGTTGGTTTCTATTATTATATTGCCACCGTCTTGGTCACGACCAGTTCTGATCGATCTCCTTTGTCAGTGTGTCTTTTGTCATTTCCTGTCAGTTGTACAACAGTGTATGATTATCATATCACTGGATTATTCATTTAAAAATGGGAGAAACATGACCACTAATAAACCTTACAAATCTCAACTTAAAAAACAAACAAAACAAAACACCTTCATGCACATGGAAAGTGTGTCCATAAGGGCGTTGGAAATTAAGTGTCCATAGAGAGGTATATCTGAAGAATGATACTTACTAAGCAAGTCTTCACACACACTGATCTCTGTTAAAATGTCTGCTGAGTACTGACACTTCTCCCAAAGCTAGAGTAATGACAGAAGTAGTGACAGAAGGTGACTTTAGAGAGAAGATGAAATCTGCTTCTGTGGTTCTGGACAGAGGAGGGCAGAAGTGAGATGCCAGTTTCTGCTCAGAGTGAGGAAAGACTCCATACAGGATCTTCCCTGGATGCCATAGGTTTCCTAAACCAGCTGAAACTCCCAGTACCCAGTAGAGCTGGGATCCCTGTTCTGGCAGTGTTGGGCTGTGCCTTGTGTAATAAATATTGAGAGGTATTGGTGAGTTTCCTGTCATCAGAAGCCCTATGTCCAGTAGAATTCATGAGTCAAATTAAGGCATTAAACATAAGTATTTTTCTAACAGTAGGTTATAAAGTCAGCATACTACAACATAGTCAGGTTTTGGTGTTGCTTTTTGATGAGCTAGAGTATTACGGAAAGAGCCATAATTCATAATGTTGAGGTGGTCAGTACATTTCCTTTTCCTCCTCAACTCTTTAGCAGCTTCAGTGTTTACAGCTAACTTTGTGTGTGTTTTATTCCATCTCCCTTGCAGCCTCGTTCCAGTTCATAGATGAGGAATCTAAGACTGAGATGTTAGGAAACTTAATGCCACAAGTAGTGGCAGGGTTAAGACCTTTACACACTATGACAGAGCCAGCATTCAAACTCAGAGGTTCTGATTCCAGCCTGTGCTGTTTCTGTTGTCCCAGATGATGGGGATCTGACCTGAAGGCACCTGGCGTAGCCATTGACATCTTGAGCCTATATTTTTCTGAAGCCTAGAAACATCATCCTTGCAGATACAGCAGGGTCACTATTAATTAGAAGCTTAAGTTGGAGCCAGCTGGGGAGGGAGAAGATGTTTTGCAAAGGGTTAGATTCAGCACTGATTTTGAACTGCCTGTGTGCAAGCTGATCTTGCCACCCTCTCTGAGAATATAGGGCAATTGTGTCACCTTCCTGAGCCTTTGCTTTGATGTACATAATGTGAAGATGATTCGCTTTCACAGATGTTGGTTTGTATATGTCAGTCCTTAGAATGCCTTAGAGCAGCAGGCAACTGCAATGCAAAACAGTACAAAGTAAATCGAGAATTCTTGAACCAAGTTGTTAAACTAAGTATTTTTCTTACTGTAGGTTAGAAAAGTCAGTAGCACATTCCTGACCAAAGCTGTCTGTCTCTGTGCCACTTGCGATGTGATCCATGTCACAGAGAGTATAGTCTATTCTTAATCAACCACATTAGGATACCTTCATGTTAGAAGAAATCTAAAATTTCCCTTTACAGTTAGTGCTTGGTTGTAAGCACTAACAAATGATACAGAAATGCAAATTATCATTAGAGGCTAGAGAGCCTGGTGTGACAAACAGAGGCTGGGAGAGTGTATCATAACCAAGGAGAGCAGCATGATGCCGGGGCCTCTGGGAGAAGTACCTGCATTAAAATAACAGAAGAGCAAGATTGTTCTCTCACATTTTTCCATCAAGTCAGAACTGATTTAAGAGCTAACTTTCTGTTGGGTTTCCAGGGCTATGGAATGGAGTGGGAGGAGATTGTCCCTTTTTCTCACTTGGAGTTACTGGGGGTTTCAAAGCACCAGAGAGGCATGACTTTTAGAAAAGTGACACAACTCCTATGAACTTCGCCGTTAGAGCTCCCTATATACTAATATGAATAGTCACAATGTAAAACTTTTCTTTCTAGTCAGTTTTAATAAATGTTTGTAAATAGGTCAGAGGTAGGTTTCAGCACACTTTTCCTGCATCAGATGTGGTTGAAAGTTGTTAGACCCTAACCCTCTATCCTTTTGGCGCCCAGACAACGTCCATCTGGCATGGGACCCTCGTGAAGCTGCTGCGGAGTCTGTATGCACTAGCACTCCCTAAGACCTCCAAGGAACTGCAGTCAGTGGAGCAGGAAGTCCGCTGGCGAATGCGAAGGCTCAACTACAAGCACCTGGCTTTCCTGGCTGAGTCCAGCACCACCTATATGCAGGAGCGGAACTCCCGAGAGCTGCTGGCTGAGCTGCTTGTGCATCTAGAGAGGCGCTGGGCTGAAATTGAAGATGGGCGCACAGTGGTGGCCATCATGATGAAAACGGGCCACCTCTCAGAGCCTCTGATGAACCGTCTGGAAGACAAGGTACTGAGCTGAAGCTGGTAGGGCCTTCTCTGGAACTTGTTTTCCTGGGTACTAGCCTTTGAATAGGGATTGCTGCCTGTTATAGCCACTGGGAAGGAATTTTGGATGCTCTGAGGTCTCAGCCCGTGAAACACTTTTCAGATACCATTAGGGTCACCCTTGTTTTGAAAATAAACTAGAACTGGTGGTATGGATGCTCCGTTATCATCTCTGGAGGACTGTACCAAGAGGAAAGGAGAAAGGTGCCAGGCCACAGTAGAGATAGTATCTATTCCCTGTTGAGTCACTCCCCCCAGGTCCTAAGTGCTGATGGACAGTGTCTGAACTCTGCGGTCTAGGACCTTTAGTCCCCATGAGTTCATGCCAGCTCCTCACCCACACATCTTCCCTGGGTGAAACCTCCCCGTAGAGAAGGGAGTTTTTCTTTCTCCAACTTCTCTTTATGTTTCCATCTTAATATGACCCTTCAGTAACCTGGAGAGGTAGGGATGGCCATCTACTCTAAAAGTAACACAACAAGATATTGGCCAGTCCTGGACCCTGGATTGACTGCGTTCTGGTTACAGCTCTTCTCTTGTGCCTCTTCAACGTTGCAGTCAATTTAGATTTTGGTCCTGTTCCTATAGTGATAAGTTGGCTACTACAGCAAGCTTTGAAGCTGTTAGGCCACTGCCTGGACCTGACGTTGAGTCTAGGGATTAACTAGCTGCAAACACTGTTCCAGAGATAGGAGGGAGGTCTTGGATAGGCAGGCCCTATGGCAAGTAAGCTCAGGCCCAGTTGCTGTCTCACAGGGACGGCACTGGATGTAATCCCTGCCCCCAGCCCTTCACTGGCATCTCAGGCAGTCAAGCTGATCCCCTGCATATGTGTCTGTGGTTGACAGTGCCTGGAGCTGGTGGAACAGTTTGGCCCAGATGATCTTCGGAAGGTGCTCTTGACGCTGGCAGCACAGAATCGTCGATCAGTGCCCTTGCTACGGGCCATCTCCTATCACCTAGTCCAGAAGCCCTTCACCTTGACTAAAGGCACTCTCATGGATCTAGCCTATGCCTATGGTGAGTCCACTGGGGGTTGGAGTGGCATGGTTCCTGATGACTGCAGCTGTGTCAGATTCAATACCTGCCCCACCCATGACATGCACTTGACAGGAAGCTGCCATAGAAACTGCGTGACTCCTGGGCCCTGTTCCTCTCTCCTGGGCCTTAGGGATAAATTTTGTTACAGACACCAAGTTTCTAGACCTTGAGAGGGAAAGGGGTATGGTGAGGGGGTGAATATAGATTATTAAGCTTGTTGATTCACCAAGTGAATTGTGGTTTGCTCTGCTCTGTCTCTAAAGGCAAACTCAACTTTCATCAGACCCAGGTATTCCAGAGACTGGCGGCAGATCTGCTGTCCCATGTTCCTACCATGACACCCAATGAGGTGGCCCACTGTGCCAAATCCTTGGCTCTCCTTAAGTGGCTTAACGTGCCCCTGTTTGAAGCCTTTGCCCAGGTGAGCTAAAGCCTGACCTGGCCCACAGGCAGGTCTCTGGACTGGTGAGAGCACATGAGCTCTGAGTGCTACCTCCAGGCCTCATCTCCTATTCTGAAAGAATCAGCTCAGTTTTCTTTCAAGCTATTGCTTTATTTAGGGGACTACAATGGTCTGTTGTTGTCAGGTAAACGTTTTCATTTTTGTTTGTTAAGTATCCCATGATATTGCTGAACAAAAGTGTATCCCTCTGTTTTGGGTCACTGTAACAGGTGTCAGCAGCTGTGCACACTTCAGAATGGTTTCTGAGAAGTCTAGGTACAAAAGAGTGTTGACATTGAGGCTAGACCTCTTTCCACTGTTCCTTAGCACAGCCTTTCCTGAAAGAACTCATGAGTTGTGCAAAGAGGGCTATCATTTGCTGCCTTCTCTTATGTTGCTCCATACAGATCATGCTCAGAGCAGGAGGGTTCTAATCTGAAGGGCTCCTCAAGGCAAACAAACCCCAAGTGCTTCTGAGCACCCATGTCCTTTACAAGTAAATGCTAATCGTGTAGGTATAGGTCTGATCTGTCCTACCTAGGAGCACCCTAGGCCTAATGAGAGATTTGTGGTCCTCACAGCCATCCTAGACCACTCCATCTTGGAGAGGAGCAGAAAGTGGAACAGAGTCCTCGATATCAAGCTGTTTTTCTTACTCCTTTACCTTCCCTTTCTCTGGGCCCAGCACATCCTGAATAAAGCCCAGGACATCACCCTGTTGAATCTGTGCAATGTGATCCTGGCGTTTGCCCATCTGAACTTCCGACCAGAACAGGAAGATCGGTTCTTCAGTCTGGTAT